CGGTAAACTCCACCAACGAGGTGACAAGACCACATCTTACCATCTCACTGGCAGATAATATATCCTCCGTTATAAGCAATAGATTAAAAAGCAAGTAAAATTCATTATTCTAGAAAATATGTATATAAGACTCCTGTTTGGCCTCTCATGTCTTAAAATTCATTTTTATCTAAACTCATTTTCTATCACACATTTATGGAACCTATATTTTTATCAATTTTTCAATCATGCACACCACCACTATTTTTTCTTTCAAAATCTACTAAAAACATAATATTTGTCCAAAAAAAAAAGAGTTTAACCAACTTATAAATAATTATAAGTTTTACCAAACATGACATACATGTCCTCATTTGCTAATGATCCACTAACTTCACACGGCAAGAAAGTGACTAATAAGATAAGAAACCAAGTCAAAGTGTTGGAAGAAAACGGGTCGCGCCACGTGGGTTTACCCAACCAAATTAGCATGAAAATGGGTTTTGAAGGGAAGAGTTGGAAATTGAATTTAAAACTTAATCTCCCACACCCCATAACTTTCATATACTTTCCATTACACCAAAAACCAAAATGAATGCAAGTAAATTCGTATGGCAATATAGATTGAAAAATAGATAAGGTGTGTTGTAATCAATTGCTGTGTGGATGGGAACAGTTTCAATTGATAAAAGTTGTACACTGCCTCAATAAACCTAAATGCAAGGGCCTTTTTCCATGACTGTATCTGCAGATTTCTGCTTTCCATAACAAGAACAAGAAATAGCTAGCTTATGTTCACCTCAACTTTGAATGCCATGGAATCGAAGGCTAGCACTATCGGCATGGTACTTCCAGTTCTTCTCCTCATTACTCCATGCTCTTCGACTTCGAGAGGTTGGTAGCAAGTTTAATCTTTTAAACAAGTGTAATACTCAATCTTGTCCTTAAGAATTTAAGCTTGTAGATGAAGTAGTGGACTAATTGTTGACTTGTTTAACTAACAAAATGGTGGTTTTGCAGGTGGGTTGAACGTGGAAAATGTGGTGGATCTACATATATATGACATTGTTTATAGAGGTCCAGAGACTACAGATCACCACCTAATCGAGCCCGTGACCGCCATATAGCTGCAAGAAGAAGTGTACAAGTCTCTTAATGTTGGAATAATGTTTCCACACAAAGGGCATGAAGAAGAAGAAAAAGGAAAAAATAACAAGAAAATCGGAATAAAAGATGAAGGCTTAAACACCTAATCGTTGTCCTCAAATGATAGTTACCACCTCTCGGATTGAATTTGATGCTTAAAGGGAATCTAGACAAATGGTTTGTAAGATTTATCAAATCTTGAAAATGAATAAACACTTAAATACTAGTGAAATTTCTTCAAAATTTAAGAACTCAAAACAACGTTTTGAATATGAAAGAAAAGAAGTTTTGGTCTTTCTTGTGGAATGGAATTTGATGTCAAGTAGTTTTTAATGTGTTTTTTATTGATCATTAATCATTTATATATAGATCTCAACCAATACTACTACACAAAATGGTGCCAAAACATGATGGAAAAAATAATAAATTTTCATCCAAAAGAACACCAGATTCCAAGTTGAAAAACCAGCCAACGACTAGTTTTTAGCCCTATGCGTACACATGGTAAAAGCATTTATGCATGCTCAAACCATGTGTACGCATGAGCAACAAACTTAAATTTCTCCATTTTATTCCACATTTTATTCTATTGATTTTGAACAACAATTTCAAAACTTAACACGTGATTTATGTAGCACATGTTTGCTATATAGTATAAATCTAACTTATTCCTCGTTTTCTGTCAGGGAAAGAAAAATCATGGATGATCCAGGTTTCTATTATGTTCATCAACTCCAGATCCTTAATTTCTTTATGATGTTTTATTACAAGCTAAAGGGGGATTGTAATCAATAAGAATTCCTTGTTTTGTATATATTTATTGAATTGTGGAGAGAAATTGCATCTGTAATTGTGATGTAATCACTCGTTAGTCATTAATGTGTCTTGTGAGTTAATATTCATGTTTATTTTTCAAGACAAAGATGCATGTTTGGCAAAGTTTAAATGATAATTTAAGTTGATTAAACATACATTTTATTTACATATTTCGTGTGATCCAAAACTTACCATTTCATATGACCTGCAATTTATAAATACTTAAAAGTATTGCCAAACGAGTACTAAGTTCAATGGTTGAATATGGATGAGAATAAAATGTTTTTGGAAATATTTTAATGCGAGTACGACATGTTTTAACCAAGCTTAAAAAGTTTCCATGAAAAATTAAATACATCAATCAACAATTAAAATAAGTAAATTACTTTATAATTTGGTTTTAAATAAAAAAAATATTTAAACATTTTGAAAAATTATCTTTTTTTTTAATGGTTAACCAACATTTCTTAAATTAAAGAATAAATGTTACCATTATTAACAGGGTCATGTTATGTGTATATAGGTGTGTACATAAGTGTTGACATAATGTAAGTGGATGGAGCCCACGATACTGTATTGTAGGTCCCACCTCACTCACATTATGTCACACCTATGTACACATAGATTAATCCTTATTAACAAGAAGGAATATGCTACTTGTACATAATGTTGTATCCATAACGGTGTCTACCCCTCGCATGGAGGGGGGTCCACTTCGAATATATTATATATTATTCGAGTGGATCTCATTCATGCGTGGGGATGAATACCGCATTATGTACGTGTAGCATCACCTTAACCAGAAACAGAGCTTGGGATAACTTCGAATAATTTTTTTAATTGGTTGTGGCAGAATAATAATGTCCCACGACTTTTCCACTAAACCAACGCGCTATAAATCGAACGCTCAAAAGTAATTGAACGAAGCACCGCAAAAAATAAAACAGTAGGAAACATTCAACGCCTTCCTGGTCACGGTTGCCTTGTTATACGTCACCATTTTTATAGACAATAGAGAGAAACTTTCAAGGGAGACCGGTGTTTCCTTGTTATATTCTGTGTAATTAATTCTCTCATAAATATCTCTCACTTCCAGATTTCATCTTTTCTAGATGTTCTGTATTTTTGTTTTTTATAGATAATATAATTTGTTAATTGTCCATGTAGTGATGGCGAATTCTGAGGAATCTAGCCCCCTTTTGACGAAGCAAAATCAA